CCAAATGGCCAGTTTGAGTGGTCATCTTATATTTACACTTTCCAAACAAATAGCTAAATGTGTTTATTTATTAATTTTTTCAAATAAAGATCCCTGTTGTTAAACAAAGATTCTTCGATTAGGGTAAGGTTTATCTGATAGACAAGGTAAGCACATATTTATGTATAAAGCTACATGAAAAATATTTTTATTAACCTAAATATCTTAGTTTGATAAGATTTAATACAGTTCTACAAGAAATATTTCATATAAACAGTATTATGCATCTCCTATATACTAAAATAGGTTAGCCCATACTTATTACCTATCAAACTTCAGAGAATACTTCTTATTAAACTAGATATGAAGGGAAGATTCAAGCAGGTAGCTGAAACTACAGATGAGACTGATGATAGAAAGGGGATCTCTTGAACTCAGTTCCCAGTGCAGTTGTCAAATCCTGTCACATCACTGATCTGACTTATTTATTTAATTTATATACTGCCCATCCAACCAAAGACCACTCTGGGCGGTTTACAACATAAAACAAAGTAAGCGAAACATCTAAATATATCCACTAATCAAACATCAATGCTAATATAAAAACAGTTGCAGCATAATAATTTATGCTCCTGATCATGTCATATTAAAAATAAATCTTGTGGAGTGCAACAGAATTTACTCTTAAGTAGATCTGCATGTCTTTAATGCCTGGTTCTGGAAAACTTTTAACTGCCTGGCAACTACAGTTAATAAGAAGGGACCCTGTGAATCCTAAGAGGTTTTCCAGGGAGTGAAAATCTAAGACACCTCTTGTTCATTTCTTTTAACTTTGTGAGCAATTGCAGCAGGCAGCCTATTGGGCACCTACCACACCACTTTGGCCCAAAATTTCACTTTTTCACAGCATCCCTGTGTCTGTGGGTACAGAGGCGCCGCGCTGTTTACAGCCAACGAGATGTAGTTTAGCTCATGCTGCTTCAAGAAGGAATGGTCTGTTCCGCCTGGAACTACTGTCCCGGCCGCACAGAATTGTGTTTGTATCTGATTCTTACGCAAGAAGCAGATGAAGCCTTCAACACACTGGATAATTGAAAATGGCTGTGCCAGCTTGTCATAGGCATTTTATGCCATGGGATGTAATTCTAGGGCTGTGTCCTTCTATTCAGTGGTCAGTAAGAAATTTGGCTGCGTATCAATGGGCAGCATCCACTCGCTGCTCCGTGGCTGCCCTGGATTTGTCAATATTCCACCGTGGGGACTCTTGCAGGCCAAAGGTGGGGTATATACAAGCCTTCTGGAGAAAATGCATAGGTTTCCAAAGGTGTGATTATTTGTGGGTAGGATGAAAGTGGACTGTACTGTAGAATGGCTGTAATTTTCTTGCAGAAACAGAAAAGCAGCTTGTAAAAAAACACAAAATCTCTTACGGTTCATACTCCTGTCTCAAAGTAAATATTTACTTCTGTTGAAGTATATATTAGTATTTTCATTTATTCACCTGAACAAACCTCTCTGCCTGTGCAGGATGGAGAATCTTAGCAACTGTGCGCAGTGAAGAGATGCCGGTGTCAAATGCAGACTAGAGAGTCTCCCAAGGACAGAACTGTTAGCAGCTCTTCATTATGTCCTTTTCCTTCTTCCTCAGTGGAATTAAAGGTACCATATACAGCAAAAGAATTCCCAGTGGGTTTTTTCCCCCCATCAAACTACTGGCCAGAACTGCATAGTTTCCTCAAAGCAGCTCCCCTCGTGTATGACTATATCATCTGGTCCAAATAGACTCTGTTTCCCACAACTAAGGATATACAGACTTCAGCAAGGTCAGATTTCTATAAAGTTTTTTTTTTATAAAATCCCAAGATAATCCAACCTGGGTGCATTCAAATATATTCGGAGACTAGGGATTTGTTTTCATTCCCACCACAGAACATTTACACAGAAGTCCACTCTTAGTTGTTCCCAGTTTTCTTAACTTCAGTTGTCTAATTTGTGCTCGTGACAGCATTTCGTTGTCCAACAAATGTAGAAGTTGGAAAGCCATGCAGATCGCTCGGAGATCTGTTGGTAGGTTTAGCTCAGCCCTTTGCCTGTTTTTGTGTTCACTTAACTTTGTGTGTTTGTGTGTCATGTTACTCTTTACAGACACGCATTCTCGCTGTTAGTTACATTTCTTTCAAAATGTAACTTCATTAAGCCCCTATTGCAAAAAAATAACCACCACCACAACAACGAAGGGTCGCTGGTAGGATGTTATGGCCCTAATTGCATTATGAGTAGCTGATTCCCTCCAGCTCTTCCAGGAACATAAAGTAATGAGAAGAGCAGTTTGCAAACTGGTAGATATTGCAAGGGAGAAGGCAGAGGCTGAGAAGATGATTTAAGTAATCCTGAATGTATCAACTTTCACTTCCTTTTGAGGGTCAGCGCAGAGTAGCAAAAATCAAGTCGTGTTTGATCTAGAGGCCTACAAAATTGTTGGTCATTAGGTGTGTTTGTTTTAGCACATGCTGCAGAACAAATATCAGCATCGTTTATTTTGAGGCTTAATTCTGCTCAACAGCATGTGAGGTACAGGTATAGCATTGGTTAACCAGCTATATACTGCTGCACAAATGTTTCTAGGTGCATAGAAACTGGAGAAGGTGGAGGACTGTTCTCCTTGACTACATATTTAGTCTTCTTTGGGCAGGGATTTTTGTTAATGGAGAGGAACATTTGACCATGGGAGCCCCTACTCGCAAGCCGATGTGGTATGTTCCAGAAACAGATTTACTACCTCCATCTGCTGTTTGTGACAGCTAGGCCTGACACAGCTAAGAAACCTGGCAAATGCTGATCTGGGGAATCATTTCATGCCTATGATGTTGGAGAGGAGCAAGTTCATTAATGAAGCAGGGAGCAGGTTTGTTATGCTTGGCCATAATTCTTTTTCAGATGTAGTTTGTTGAGGATAAACAAGGGTCTGAATAAAATTTCTGCATAAAAAGCTGCTTTGTGCCACGATCAGACAATTTGTATAGCTCGGTCAGTGTTCTGCGCTCATTAGTGCCTGTTCTCTGGGGTTCAGGACATAAGAAGAGGCCCTGCGAGATCAGGCCGGAGGCCTATCTGGTCCAGCCTTCTGTTCCCACCATGGCAACGGGCTATCTCCGGGAAGGCTACCCACATGATAAGACTTTCCCTTGGCCTGTTCCCCAGCGACTGCTATTTTGAAGGCTTAGCTTCCTTAACCAGTTTAGATAATCACTGATAGTGTTAACCCTCCTATGAATCTGATTAATTGTCTTTGAAGGCAATCCAAGTTGGAGGCCACCACTGTTTGGGGATGCAAATTCTGTAATTTAAACATGTGTTGTGGAATACTTCCCTTTATCTCCCTGGATTTCCCACTGTTTGACTTCATTAGGTGACCTCTGATTACAGAATAATGAGAGAAGCAGGGACCCCCCGCATTCCTACCCATTATCCAATATCACAGATAGTTGTGTATACCTTTTTCCATGGCCCCCCTTCCCTGATTTTCTTCTAAGCTAAAAATGCCAAACCCCTTCTTGTTTTGAGAAGTCCTTATATGTATGAGAACATACTCTTTTTTTTTTTGAAGGAATGGGGATTTTTTGTGGGATAGATTAGATCCATATCATTTTAAGCATACCTACTTGTTCACCTTTTGCATAATTATTTGTTGAAGTAATTAGATGATGACAATATAGATTCCTATCTTATTCACTAACTCCTATATATTCTGCTTTCTCTGCAGTGAACTTAGGGTGATATACATTATAGTCTTCCCCAATTATTCTCACAAGAACCCGGTGAGGTAGATCAAGCTGAGAGAGCATGAATGGCCTAAGGCCACCCAGGACTACATCTCACTGGCTGAGTTTACAGTAGGGAGCTAATTACACCTGCCAAGTGGATCTGGAGCAGAAAGCACTGTTGAAATAATCCCACAAAGTATTTTCTTTGATGAAGAGGTCTGTGTTCTATCTACACTGCTTTAGATCAACCTCGTTGGGTGTAGAGAATCATATTTTTCTCTGGCCTGCTGAGCATTTCTGAGAACAAAGTTAATTGCTTCTATAGAAAAAGTGAAGCAAGACTAGAAGACCTTGACCCAGTTGATCAGTTGAGGCTGATTCTCCTCGGCTGCTTCCTGGAACTCCATAGCCAGTTCTGCTCCCCCACTTTGGAAGACACTGTTGAGGTTATGTGCCCTCAGGTCGCCTCTGACTTATGGTGACCCCATGAATGAACAGTCTCCGAAACATCCTGTCCTCAGTTGTCCTGCTCAGCTCCTGTAGACTTGAGCCTTTGGCTTCTTTTTGGGAGTCAAGCCATCTTGTATTTGGTCTTCCTCTTTTCCTTCTGCCTTCAATCTTTCCCAGCATTATTACCTTTTCTAAAGAATCTTGCCTCCTTGGGATGTGCTCAGTTTCATCTTCTTTTGCCTCGAGAGATCACTCAGGCTCTCTGATTTGCTCCACTTGTTCGTTTTTCTTGCAGTCCAGGATATCTGCAAAGTTCTCCTCTGGCATCATTCAAACAAATCATTTTTCCCCATCAGCTTTCTTTACTGCCCAGTTTTCACACCCGTACATCTCCGGTGACACATCCTTACACTTGATTATCTTTTCCCATTCCTTCATGGCTGCCCATCCAAGTCTCTGCCTTCTTCAGATTTTTTGGCAGCAGTCTCCATTCAGATTGATGACTGAAGCAATCCTTTGAACAAAACCTTTCACTGCACTACACATTAGGTCTCCTGAATCACTAATCATTGATTTTCTGGGTCTCTATGATAAGATCAAGCTGAGACGGCAAAGATCTGCATGAAGGCTTTGTTTTTTGTGTTCCCTACATAAAACAAATGCTCTTTTTTCCACGTGGATAAACATTATAAAGTGGGCATCCATTCTGCAGACCTTTTCAATCAGGACAATTACTGCAAGACTTTGAAATGTGAATGTATATTTCTGTGTTTACAATGCCTGCTATTGCTGTCTTCATCTAAACAGGAGTCTTACCCCTCTTCGTCGCCAATATGGTTTGTGGAATCAGATGACCCTAACTTGACTTCAGTGTTGGAGCGTTTAGAAGATATTAAGAAGAGCAATACTCTGGTAAGAGAGTGCTTAAATCCTTTCCGTTGATCTGGCCTTAACTGAGCATCTCCTTGTCAAAACTCCACCGTCTTGTTGTTCATTGTGTGCTTTAACAACCCAGATTCAGATAAACTTTCGCAATTTAGCCAGTGGTGGCCTTTCTGTAATGGTCACATTAAAAGGTTTGACTTCTTTAGTTCAACCTCCCCCAGCCATTAATTATAGGGCACAATCAGAGTGGGGAGTAGCCAGGACAGTGACAAGGGATCAACATGTCCTAACTTTCATAGATCTGAAAGGGAATGTATTTGTTAACTTGGGGAAGCTTAACCCTGGAGGACAAGAGTATTCCACATCCATGTGCTTACTCAGCAGGTGGCTCTAGATGGCAAAGCAAATTAAATGGGCCAAGTCACAGAAGATAGTGGGGAGAAAAACAAGCCCGCATTGCTAGCTAATCTGACAGGGTAGAAAACTTGTTCCTGGTGCCAAATATGCAATCAGACCTTGGATTTTTACAATGCGATTATTGCAAACCCATTATTATTTCTTTTAGTGTGTGGCGAATGAATCTAGCTATTGTGATGCAGGTCTGGCTCCTATTGAATCCTCTGGTGGTATTTCAATGGATTGTTGAGATAGCAGAGATTCTTACTGGACAGTGTTTCTCATCGGCACACCTTCTAAGTGTGAAGCTTGGTTTCGGAATGGCAACAGGCCCCGTTGGATTTATGCGCACAGGGCATCTAATTATGTGAAACCTCTGGGTTATTTATAAAAACCCTCTTAACACTTTTGCTGAATGTCAAGTTTTGGTAACACCATCAGTCTCCAAAGCTGACATAGTTCACAGTCTCAGCATGTCTTCATTTATCTCCAGGCACAAGTCAGGCCCAGCCTGACTTGTGTATGCATGCTTGTAAGAAGGAAAAGAGGAGTCATGTGGCTAAAATCATATGGAGGAATCTTACATAGAATAGGTAAAGGTAAAGGTTCCCCTTGACATTTAGTCCAGTTGTGTCCGACTCTAGGGGGTGGTGCTCATCCCCGTTTCCAAGCCGTAGAGTCAGCGTTTGTCCGAAGACAGTTTCTGTGGTCACGTGGCCAGCGCGACTTATGCACGGAACACTGTTACCTTCCCACCGAGGTGATACCTATTTATCTACTTGCATCTTTATATGCTTTCGAACTGCTAGGTTGGCAGGATCTGGGACAAGCGACGGGAACTCACTCCGTCGCGTGGATTCAATCTTACGACTGCTGGTCTTTTGACCCTGCAGCACAGAGGCTTCTGCGGTTTAACCCACAGCGACACCATGTCCCTCGCACCACCACAACCCTCCTTACATAGAATAATGAGTCATTAATATGTTTGCCTCAGTATTGTTGATATTGAATGGCAGCAACTGCTTTAAATGTTAGATAGATGAGATCTGATTGGTAGCTGTTGGTGTTAGGGATGTTTTTATGATGGCACCAGAGTTGTGGAATTCCCTTCCTGGGGAAATTGGTCAGGGACTTTCCTTCTTGGTCTTTCGACCTACTGTGAAACTCTTTTTGTTTGATAAAGTCACCCACTAAATTTCATGCTTAAATTCCATGCCTGGGCTGTAGATTTCCCATGTCCAGTTGGTGAATAGTGCACTGGACCTGTTCAAGTAGTGCATCGGGGAGGACAGGATGTTGCTAAGAAACAAGCCATTAATCTGAAAGTCAGAAAATCTGATAATAACATAGAGCTTTAATGACTTGGTAGACCTACACCTTTATTATAGGCATTTACAGCAGGATCTTCTGTTAGTTGTACCTCTAGGGGAAAACTAGAACTGCTTATTTAGTTTTAAACTTGGTAAACTTCCGCTTAAAAAACTCCTACCACCAAACCTAAACCATTAACACACCCTTAAACTTGTTTTGTAGCTTCTCCAGCAGCTGAAACGATTGATATGTGATCTCTGCAGATTATACAATCTTCCTCAGCATCCTGATGTCGAAATGTTAGACCAGCCGTTGCCAACGGGCCAGGTAAATATGTGGTGCTTGAAAAGCAGATGCATGGGCTCTGGAGACAGACTGTTCCACCTCCATGGAGAGCCTGCGTATCAGACGTATGAATGCAAAGTTTCTTTCTAGGGTGTCAAGGTGACTAAGACACAAGTCATTGCTGTGCAAGTAAATGGCAGGTTTTTCTTCTGCTAAGCAGGCATTCTTGTTATCTGATGAGGACATTACATTTATCTCTGCTTGAAATGCTACTGAACCACATGGGACCTGCTGACAAAGGCCCTTTTAGTTCTGCGACACAACTCAGCAATGGAGGGGGAAGTTTTCAAGTCCTGCTCTCCCCTACCCCCCCCCTTTTATATGCCTATCCAACAAATTGGCTTATGAAATATGTTTTCTCTTCATTTAAGAGCTGAAAATCTTTAAGCCTAGTAAGGAGAGAAGGAGGACCAGAATTATAACCTTCACGCTACTGCCTTACTGAGGCAATGTCATCTCTGGTCACTGCACTTGGGACTTGTGTTGACAATTCATCAAGCTGTGCTGTTGTGTTATTTGTTGTCAAGCTGGAACCCATACAGTGATCTAATAGGGCTAGAGTATAGGGAGTGATTTTGCCAGTCCCGGCCCCCTGCATTGCTGAACGGTCTCCTGCATCCTCATCTGGCACTCTTGTCTACTACATCATACTGTATATCCAGGAGAACTAGTGCATCTATATGTTTAAATTTTGTGTGTGCTTTTCCTCATAGTCAGTAGCCAAATTCCTATTTGCTTTGCATGTGTGGACTGCACTTGGGTCCTCAATGCACTTTGTATGCATTGCCTTGTTGTTTTCACAACTGTTTTGTAATGTTAAGTGAGTATTATCCCTGCAGTGAAGATGGGAGGCTCCAGCCATTGCATCTGGTCTAAAGCCACAGTACAGACTTGGCAGTAGTGAGATTCAAACTTAGAGCTTTTGATCTGAAATTCAGCCTCTTTAGTTGTAATGTTAGGCCTACTCAGTTCTTCTTTTTAAAAACAAACAAACAAACAAACAAACCACCAATTAACACCTGCTTAAAATCTCTTTGCTGTCTTCCAGAATGGAACAACGGAAGAAGTCACATCAGAAGAAGAGGAGGAGGAAGACATGGGTGAAGTATGTGCATTTTGTTGTCTGCTATTCTCTTTTGTTGGTATTCCTTGTTTCTAGTCCCCAACAGAAAAAGAAGAGCTGGAAGCTTGTAACCGAATGGGCACCAATATCCTCTCTTGTAAAACATTTTGTGTGCCATCCTAGGAAGCACATTGTGTCGACTTTCAAGACTCTTACCACCCTTCATTGAGATAAATAGGTGTACGGAGAAGATGTGTAAGAGCCTTTATCTTCGAGCAGGCATCTTCTCCCTGCACTGTTCTGTCTCCAGTAGGCAAAAACTGGGCACATAAGAATCATAGACTTCTCTGATTTTAACACATCCCCTTCAGCTCTCCCAACAGCACAGATTTGGAGTTAGTGTTATGGGGACCGCATTAGCCCTTGTTACTCCTCTGCATCTGCTGCTGGAAAGCTAGATGCTGTTCTTTGCACTCCACGTGTTGTAGATGTCTCTTCAGCCAGGGCAAGGAACACTGCTGTTCAGAACATTAAGAAACCAGCGTGTTGCCATCGTTGCTGCTGCTGTTCTTAATGAGGGTGTTGCTTTTGCCTTGTAGGACATTGATCTAGATCATTATGAGATGAAGGAGGAAGAACCTGTGGAAGGGAAGAAATCTGAGGATGACGGCATAGAAAAAGAGAATTTGGCAATCCTGGAAAAAATCCGGAAGAATCAAAGACAAGACCACCTGAATGTAAGTAGGTATTAGGGAAATGAAAGCTAACGTGCCTGCTATTTCACTCTCTGCAGCTTACCTTGTCAAGGGTTGGAACACATAAGGATGCTAACCTGACCATCAAAGGCATTGCAAACAACTTGAATCTTAGACACTTTGTTGTCCTCGTCTCGTGACATGTCTTCGAAAAGCTGATCGCTTGTGATGCAGCTGCATCTGGTCAGGTAAAAAATATTTTAAATAAAGAAAACCTTAGAAATCCTTTATTTCCCTTTACTTCCTTTCAGGGTGCAGTTTCTGGGTCCGTCCAGGCTTCAGATCGACTTATGAAAGAACTCAGGGATATATATAGGTCGCAGAGTTACAAGACAGGTAGGTGGTCCACCCTGTTTTAATAAAGCAACAGTCATCACAATCCTTGTTCGGTGGTATAGCCTTGTAAAGTCTGTGTCATGAAGGCCATGCGCTTTATGTGTACTTTCCTCTTGAACTGTGTAGGATGTCCTTCTGAGTACACATATATGGGTTTGCACAGAAGCTGAAATAACCTGTTTCTTTGCCCAGTATCTTTGTTGCCGGTGTTTAGATTCTGAGTCCCCCCCCCAATCTTGCATCTACGTAGTTTTAAAGTATGTTTTTTTAAAGTGTTCTTAAAGTTTTAAGCTAAATACATTTACACCTTACGAAAGTGCCACCGATGGAATGATAAAGAAACACCACAAGCACACCTGGGTACCTTTGTAAAGCAAACAAGCATTCGTCAGGTTGGGTCTGGTTCGGACAGGAATTTCTGTGCAATCATGAATCTGTACGAGAGGGAAGGCTAGTAGGGGAGACCCTAGTCTTTAACTGAACCTTATTGATTTCTGACTCTGCAGTTACCCTTAAAAAGGGAGATGACATTTCACGATAATAACCACCATTAACAAGCAGGAACATTCCCCATATTGTGTTCTGTGTTTGTACTTAGCATTCTGCAGGCCACTGCAGCCATTTGGTATCCCCTGGCCCATAGTTCTGTAGCATAAATATCTCCTACCTAATGCCAGGTATGATGGGCAAAACCAGATTTTTTTTATATCGCTGATCTCTACCATGAAGATTGCCCTTGGATTTTTAAAAAAGGATATTAGTCATGGGACACAAAGCTTAGTCCAAGGGCTATCTAGCACAGATTGTAAAAAGATGGATCAGGATCTACTGACATATTTCTGAGTGGCCCACAGTAAATCAGCAAGGGCTTCTGAGTCTTGATTCATTAACAGTCATATGATTTTTCCTGCCTTAAATGAGGCTGCCAAAATGAGGAAAACTAGAGATAGTTAGGACTAGAGATGGGGGGTATTTGTATATGAATCCCCCCCGCACAGGTGGCGATAACGAGAGTCCGCCCCATGAGGCCAGATGGTCCGCTCGCCGTTCCGCTGGCTCTGAAATCCTTCCAATGGCTCCTTCAGTGATATATGGGTGTTATATGCAAAAGATTATGTAACACTTTGAAGTTCTGTGGGGTGATTTCCTTAATTAGATGTCTATTGAACAACGAAACACTACAACTTGTGCACCCAAGTCTTTGGCAACAGCACCAATAAGTTTGCTTGTAGAATTGCAAAGTTCAAGCGTCCCTTTGAAGTCAGATAAAAATTCAAGAAATCTTCCTTAGCTGGGTTGGGTATCCAACACACAGAAGAATCAGCTCCACATGTGGACTCTTCAGAACCCTTCAATTTTATCCAGTTCATTAATTCACTGTGTGGATTCACCCCTCCAACACAAACATGTAGGAATTATTCCTGGGCTAAATTGACGGGGGGCGAGGCTTAACAGTTTAAGTGGCAACAGCAACACTGGCCTCTTCAGTTCTCCTACTCTTTCCGATTCAGATCTCTTACTCACAACCCTGCTCTTTCTTTCTCACCCCTTTGGGCTGAAACAATATTTCATAGGGGTTACACTTAACCTTCTCATCATATTTATTATTTAAGATATTTATATGCTGCCTTTCTCCTAAAAAGGATCCAAGGTGGCTTACAGTATTAAAAGAATATTAGAACCTAAAACAAAAGCGAGGAATAAATTAGTACCAGTTGCTTGAGGCTTGACATGCCCAATTTTAGAATCAAGTGCAGGACCTAAGTATCCAAGTTCATCCATCTGGTTTTAAATTTAGTTGAAAGACACACACCGGACCTTGGCTTACCATGGTATACTTTTGAAGCCTGGAGGCTAACCTCGTTGTGTTAGGAGGGATACCTACTTAAAACAGTGTTGGTCTTAATCGGTGTCAGGATGATAGCTATCTATAGCTATAAGCTCGCGATCAGGAGTAGTAATCCCCGGGAGGGAGTGCTCTCAAGCGCCTGATGGACTGGTGTGCATTGGCACAGCGGACGCCTGAGAAGCCCAGCTTCTGTACGTCCCTCTCAGGGTCCATAAATCTTGATAGTTAGAAGTAGCCTTATTGGCTAAGGCTGATATCCTTACCTGATGCAGGGAAAACTTATCTGAAATCATTTCTCACTTGGGTAACATGGAGACTGCCCGGTTGCTCTCTGTTTTCCACTGTAGCAGGAGCCTGTTGAGCTCAGACGAAGTGGAAACGTCTTTGAGTTCATTGTGGAAGTTGTGTGGCTTAAGATGGAAGACCAAACTTTTTCAAACTTTCCAGCTTCCGTCAAGTCTGTGAGCGGCTCTGGGTGCAGTCTAACAAGACTGGCTTGATGGATGTGCCCCCATTTGATCCTGTACATTGCCTGCCTCGTTGATGTTTTAAAGATCAAACAGACTATGGAGATTTAAGATTGAACCTCCCCTCCTATTTTCTTCTCTGCCATGGCTTGCTTTTGCCACCTCTCTCCCGATGGAGAGATGAGTGGTCGCTGTGCTTTAAAAACAGTCCTAAAACGTTTGCCTAGTTTTCTCTGGGTTTTGGTGTCCAAATATTGGTGCAGTATAAATTTTGGAATTTGATTATTATTATTAGGCTGTTGGGACAATTTGGCTCTCCCACAACCAGTGGATCATTTGGACAAGAGGGAATGATTCACCAAATGGAAAGGAGCTTGGATGCAAGGGATGACGTAGCATCCACCATTACTGCTGCTTTAAAAACACAAACAAGGGCCGTCCACCGTCTGCATTCCTGTCTCTGAGCTTCGCTTCCAGTCTCCCCGTTTTTTGCTCACAGAGGACTTTTGGGAAGGGGAGGGGACTCTGTCCCTTCAGGCGCTGTTGGGTTGCTTCTCCCGTAATCCTTGACCGCTGGCTTTGTTGGCTTGGACTGATGAGAGCTGTAGGTGAAAAAGCACCTGATCCCCCACCCTTGCTCTCTCGTTCCTAAAAAAAGGACACAGAGAAAGCAAATGGGATATGAGACAAGCATTTACGACAGTGTGCCTGTCCTACGCTGGAGGGGCTGAGTTTGATGCAGCTGAAAAGACAAAGGCTATTTTTAGATGGGCTGCTTCTTTGGGGAACTTGGTTTGTGACTTTTGCACAACAGCCGTGGATTTATCCTTTGGTTGTCCATCAGAGGTGACGGTGTGCCTGTCCTAAGCTGGAGGGGCTGAGTTTGATGCAACTGAAAAGACAAAGGCCATGTTTAGATGGGATGTTCTTTGGGGAATTTCGTTTGTGACTTTTGCACAACAGCCATGGATTTATCCTTTGGTTGTCCATCAGAGGAGCAGGACCTCCATGTTGTGTGCCAGGTGTCAAGTATGGATAAAGTGCTTGACTACTAGCCTCATCTTACACCTTTCCAGATCGAATCCTGTCCAGAGGGTCCTCTGGGGCAGAGTTCAGATGAGCTAGTACGGTACCAAAAAAACTGATGTCTTTAATCCAGCTGATGGTTTGGGGATTCCTTTCATTCCATTCATTCTTAACTAGTTGTGACAGGAGCCTGTGCTTCACATAAAGAGCTGCTTTCCCCACACTTCTTTTCCTTTTACCTCCTCCCAAATGCCTGTTGAAGGATAATGCATTACTCTACAAAAGATAATCCATAATGAACAAAGACATCTTAAACTTTAGCAGTTTTACAGCTGCCTGTATGGCTGAAGTATCAGACAGAACCGCATGCCCTACTCCTAAACCGCACCTCTTATCTTTGGCTTCTCCGCATTTGTATCCAGCCTGCCTTTAAGGAAGTGGAGCAGTAACTCATCTGAGCAAGTGCAGATTTGCTTAGTTTTATTAAAATCGCTCTAATGTGTGGCTTTATTCCTTGCTGTTAAGGGAGGTGTTCAGAGAAAGGACCCCTTTCTCTTGAGCTAGCAATTATGGTTGTTAAAAAATCTTAGTTAATTTCTCGTTCTCTGCAAGACAGCCTTCGGCATGTCAAAACCGTCTGTCAGGCACTCATTAACCATTAGAAGATGTCTTGCCTCCCCCACAAGATTTAGACAGCAGCTGCTCTCCCCACGAGTTTTCTACATTTTGCATTAAACGTCTTTACCTAAGAGGCATGCTTTTTCCCTGTGTCAGCTAACCGCACACATGCCCTGCAAGTACCACGGCTGTTCAAAAAGACACAGTAACCCCCCCGTCCAATTATCCTGCTGTTTAAAAGGTCGTGCATCAACACAGAAGTTGCTGTCATTTACACAAACATCAGTCCTGTAATTTGGGCAAAAAATGATTGTTGTGGGACACAGAAAACCCTTGTGGGGAGCAACCAAAGAAAGCTCGGCTTTCTCGTAAGTGCAAAGAGCAGTCCTGAAATTTCTCCTGTAGGAGAACGAAACAAGTTGAGACCCAAGGCATGCCTATTAGCAGCAGCCTGAGACCTTTCGGCCTTGGAAGGATTTCTTACACATTTCTGTGGGAGACCGTTATGTGTTTCAACAAAAGAGGAGGAGTTATTGAATTATGTGTGTTGAACTCTTCTTTTCACTCAGACAGGTCTGAACAGAAAACGGGTCTCTCTACTTTTTACAAAATTCCTTTCCCTTTAAGCCTCCTAGAATTCTGTGTCACCGTTTCGTTATGGATGGTTCTTTTAGAAACAGCCTTTTCATTTTTGTTTTCCACAGGGATTTATTCAGTGGAACTTGTAAACGACAGTTTGTATGAGTGGCATGTAAAACTTCTAAAGTAAGTACACGATTTTCCCTCCACCAGCCAGCCATGTCCTAAATTGTTCATTTCAGCTTTTCATGAATGGACTGTATCACACTCTCTCTGTCTCTTTAACCAACGTCAAAATCGTGCATTAGGAAAGCTGGATGCTACCTTACGCCTTAGCGCATTTTCTTATGTTTTGGATGTCTTCGTTGGTTAGATTGATCGGCCAATGCAGAGTTCTAAAAGGGGAGTTCTTTTAAGGAGAAAGGCGGGCTAAAATATTTTAAATAAATAAATAGAAAAGTAATAAGAGAACTACAGACGACAGTGTAGACATTTTTTTTTCCTTCGTGTGGGAATTCAGTGGTGGTGGGGATTTCCTTTTTAAATTGGTGCCTCAATAAGAGAACTACAGACTACAGTGTAGACATTTTTTTTCCTTCCTGTGGGAATTCAGTGGTAGTGGGGATTTCCTTTTTAAATTGGTGCCTCCTATGAGGAATGCACGTCCTGTCCAAAAATGTTGTACTTTGGTTTACATAATGAAGGCTAAACCTTCAATGAAAGTCTGGATTCTCAGACAGTTTGCTTATCCTCTTTTTTGGATCCCTTTTTCCGTTCCAGTGGGTGTCACAGTGTCAAAGCTCAACATTGTAGTCTCAGGTCTAAAGAAGGAGCGACTGGCTTTTAGGTATCTCCTATTTTTTTAGAGTGCCAAAAAGTCAGTTTGGGGATGACAATACCTGAAATCCCTCAGCCAGCCTGGGAATTCTGTCAGCTGGGGTCCAAAATCTTTTCCCCAGTCCTGATTATTTCTTTGAAATAAACAGCTGACGAGAGGCTGTTCAGATTTGGACAGTGGCAAAAGGACATGAGGCTTTAATTCATGGCTCCCATCAGAGTCCTGCTCGGAAGCAAAGCGGCTCATGCTTCTTGCTTGCTGTAGGGGAGGGAAGCACACATATCTGTAAGCTGAGCTTCTGAAGATAGGCAATCCTGCTTCCTAGACTCTGGAGCAGGCCAACAGCATTACAGGAGCACCCCCATTGTCCCCAATACTTGTCTCCACACACAAGCACGTACATTCAACTAGCGTATCAGTCAGGGCCCTGGGGTATGAGCCAGCCACTTTTCTGTGAACAGCTACCTGTGCATTTCAAAGAGAATAACTTCACATCTTATAGTATTGGTTTTTATAGATAGTAGCAGCAACTGTTCAAGTCTGAGTGACTTAGGTCTTCTGCTTCTTCCCTTTCTTGCCCACAACGGCTAGGGTTGATCCTGACAGCCCGTTACATAGTGATCTTCAAGTCTTAAAAGAGAAAGAAGGTGTAGAATATATTTTGCTCAACTTCTCATTTAAGGTAAGGAAAAAAATGGCTCTGCCCTTAATGTGTGAAGTGTGAATCAAGTGTGTTGAGTACAATTTCAGTAGCGCTACAGCTCTTTTGGAAGTGGGCTCAGCTTTATACAGCCCTTTGTTTTGTAACAAATTGTACAGAAAATTTCTTATGATTCCAGAATGAAGGTTCAAATTATTTTTATCTGCAGCAGGCGGTCAAATTTGCAAAGTTTTTAACTGTGTTTCTCTCTCTCCTCCCCCCCACCTTGTTTTAGGATAATTTTCCCTTTGACCCTCCCTTTGTGAGAGTGGTTTCTCCGGTCCTCACTGGAGGGTAAGTGTCCATTAGTGTTGCTCTTATAATCAGATGTTCTGCAATAATTACAACGTTCTTAAAGATTCCCCAGAACTTTGGAGGAGGTTTTTTGGAAACATGAGGGGCTGCTGTCAGGGAGATGGGAGATTACCAGTTTTGGTGGAAGCCGTGGGATTCAGTACATATATGCCATTGGCCATATTGGGAAACTCTGGTTTCTGCAGTGTCTGAACTGGAATGTCGTTTGGTTCAAATAGATGTGTGAGAGATCTTTAGGCTTTTTTTTACATGGGATGGAAAGGATAGCCTGGGTGTGATTAAGGGGATAACTCTTCCATGGTTATCTTTTGACGTGGCAGAATAAATCGTATGAGATGTTAACAGAATGAAAGACGGCTACTTTTCTCCACTAGCAGGAGGAACCTGAGTATGGTTCAGAACGAGCCAGTGTGACCCTGTCAAGTCTAGCCAGGTTTCCTGAACCACTAACAAAGAGGGAGAATAATAAAATGCAACAGGATAAAATACACAAAGCTGAGAACTGGGTCGTTGTCAGAAAAGTGTTATCGAAACAGGGCACAGGATTATACACAGTTGGGTAACGCTCTTCTGATTGTATCAGGGCTTACTAGAGAGCCAATGTCAGAGTGACTTCGCAACAATAAAGCCATGGACATAATAGCTATGATGATCCACATTCCCCAAGCTTCACATGTGTTTGCTCGCCAGCCTTTTTTATTGACTTGGGTTGCAGTAGGTCAGGTTAAGGGGAAAGGGCTGGTTCTCAGTGCTGGAGCGCCAGCTTTGTATGCAGAAAGTCCAGGGTTCAATCCCTGGGATTACGAGACAGCGCTGGCTCGCCTGAAACCCTGGAGTTCTGCTGGATTCTTTTAAGGGGATGAAATGACCTGTTGTGAGAAGCTGTTCCAATATTCTGTGCTTTGATACGATTCCTCCCCCTGCCCCGGTATGAAACCTTGGGTAGGTTGTCAAATGTGTACTCCCTCCTGTCTTGTGTCTCTGAGTTCTGTTGCAGAGCAGATTTGGTCTGTTGTTTTACTCCTCTTTCCCAGAGCAACATACTTCTCCTCCAGTATGTCTGGTGTCTTGTCTGGTCAGTGCAGGACGTCATTGCTCTGGGTTATGTGTATCCCATTGCATCATGTGTAGCACCACTTCTCCAGGAGGAAGGGTGCCCTGTAGCTAGTTCTGCGTGTTTTGTAGGGGAGTAGCACGTTGCTTCCGGACTCAGCTGCAGAAGACTGCTGCCCCATCCATGTCGCTGCTTCAGATGCCTTTACTTGGATCATTTTTCAGCACCTTATGGCTACAAGCAGTTAATAAAAATTGGATGAATAGCACAGGAAGGGCAGGGCAGAGATTGTGCACACACGCATTCTTATTCTATCTCATTCTTTGTGTAGGTGTGTCTGGCATATCTTTAAGGCATGGAACTCATTAGTTTTGGAAACTTTGTTTGCTTAACTTCAGATTCAGTTGCCTTCATTGACACCAGTATTGATCTCAGACCTATGTTGCAAAGCTGCAGAAAAGTAGCTCACTTCACCGTATCACCATCATGAGATGGTGGGCTGTCTATGTAGAAGATGAATGATTTGTGTTTCACATCCTTCTGACTGGCTACTGCACAGTTTCTACAAATGTAGCTTCAGCCAATCGCCCTTTGCTTTGCCTTATAACTCAGTCTTAAAATTGCTCCTGTTTCAAAAGAATGCTTCATTTTTTCATCTTCTAAATAGGCACTTCTTTAACCGAGAAACACTATTAAATTTATCTGCTTCAAAGTTAGTTCACAGTGAATCTGCAGGGATTCTAGTGTCAAGATCATTATCTTCACTTGATTAATCAATTGCAACTGTGGCAGTTTTACTCGTTTATTGAGAGGTAATAGTGTCTTCTGTCTCTGTTACACATGTATTCCATGGGGGCCCTCAGGAGGTCTCTTGTGTAAAAAGATACGAATTGAGAAATATTCCCTCTCAGCCTGTATAGGTTCATGAGCTGTAACTCTGTTAAACTGTCCCTTTTTATATTGACAGAGTCAGAAATCCCGGGGAGGTGTCACTCAAAGTTCATTTTCTAGTGTGATCTTCCAGGGGCTGAATCTGTTTGAGACAATTCTGACAAACCCAACTGCAGATAGACCTTGTGGGTTGTCCCTCTTGGTTTTTCCCCTCTGTTTCATTTTTTTTACCCTAACCCTTCCATGCCTGGGTCATGTGTATCCCACTGCATCATGTGTATCAGCACTTCTCTGGGAGGAAGGGTGCCCTGTGGCTAGTTCTGCGTGTTTTGTAGGGGAGCAGCACATTGCTTCCAGACTCAGCTGCAGGACACTCTGCTGCTCCATCCATGTCGCTGCTTCAGATGCCTTTACTTGGATCATTTTTCAGCACCTTATGGCTACAAGCAGTTAATAAAAACTGGATGAATAGCACAGGAAGGGCAGGTCTTCTGATCTGTTCCTTACATAGAGATTGCGCACACACACATTCTTATTCTCTCTCATTCTTTGTGTAGGTGTGTCTGGCACACACACATACACCCTGCTGCTTCCATATCTTTAAGGCATGGAACTCATTGGTTTTGGAAACTTTGTTTGCTTAACTTCAGGTTCAGTTGCCTTCATTGACACCAGTATTGATCTCAGACCTATGTTGCAAAGCTGCAGAAAAGTAGCTCACTTCACCGTATCACCATCATGAGATGGTAGACTGTCTATGTAGAAGATGAATGATTTGTGTTTCACATCCTTCTGACTGGCTACTGCACAGTTTCTACAAATGTAGCTTCAGCTAAGAAACTGCTTTCTCACTGGCTTAGTCCTATGTTATTGTCAGAACTATGATAATGGAATTATAATAATAGAAAGGTACAATTTTCTTCTGGTGTAAATATTTCCACCAGTCCAATTGGGAATCTTTGAAAACCCAGCTAAGTTTCCTGTTCAATTGTCAACGGCTACATAATTGTTCAAGTTGTGGTAAAGAGAGCACAACTTGTATTATTTGAAACAATATTGTCAACACGTCTTTCTGTCCCACAGGTATGTTCTTGGTGGAGGTGCGATATGCATGGAACTTCTTACTAAACAGGTAATGACAGCATCAAGGCCTTACCAAGATCAGAGAGGTTTCTCAGAAGTTCTTTTTCTTTGTTTCATGGGTTGTCAAACTGCAGAATGCAAAGCAGAATGCCGTGTCGTTGCTCTTCTGTCTTGCTGCCTTATGACCTCAACAATGAATTGTGATTTTTAAAGTTAGAAATTAGGGACGATAAGCTCAGAAAGGTCAGCTGAGAAAATGCAGTTTCTTTTCAGGTGTCATTTCCTCTTTTCTTTAGGGTTGGAGCAGCGCTTACTCCACAGAATCTGTCATCATGCAGATCAATGCCACGTTAGTGAAAGGAAAAGCCAGAGTACAATTTGGAGCAAATAAGGTAAACGCAGCAGTGCCCCAGTGTTCTTCCAGCGGTCCCTCTGCTGATATCATTTCTAACAAAACGTTATTGGATTTGCACCATGCAGTTAGAACTTGGCTGAGCTTATAGGCGGCCACAGTTGAGTTCAAGTGCCAAATTGTCGTTTGACCAATTAAACTGTCATTG